TTAAAGTGTGTTAAAGAATGTTAAAGTGTGTTAAAGTATGTTAAAGTGTGTTAAAGTGTGTTAAAGAATGTTAAAGTGTGTTAAAGTATGTTAAAGTGTGTTAAAGAATGTTAAAGTGTGTTAAAGTATAATAAAGTATGTTAAAGTATATTAAAGTGTGTTAAAGTATGTTAAAGTGTGTTAAAGTATAATAAAGTATGTTAAAGTATAATAAAGTATGTTAAAGTGTGTTAAAGAATGTTAAAGTGTGTTAAAGTATATTAAAGTATGGTAAAGTATGTTAAAGTATATTAAAGTGTGTTAAAGTATATTAAAGTATGTTAAAGTGTGTTAAAGAATGTTAAAGTATGTTAAAGTATATTAAAGTATGTTAAAGTATGTTAAAGTGTGTTAAAGAATGTTAAAGTGTGTTAAAGTATATTAAAGTATGTTAAAGTGTGTTAAAGAATGTTAAAGTATGTTAAAGTATATTAAAGTATGTTAAAGTATATTAAAGTGTGTTAAAGTATATTAAAGTATGTTAAAGTATGTTAAAGTATATTAAAGTGTGTTAAAGTATATTAAAGTATGTTAAAGTATGTTAAAGTATGTTAAAGTGTGTTAAAGTATAACGTTGTGTCTCGGTGTCCCAGGTGTCTGAAGCCGTACCGTCTGGCGTCCTACGTCTTGGCGGTGGCGATGGAGGGTCTCTGTTGTCTCTTCACGCCGTTGCTCCGGTCCTTCTCGCTCCTCGTACCCTTCGCTGTCCTCTACGGTTACTTCGACGGTGCCTACGTGGCACTGATCCCCGTGGTGACGGCGGACGTGGTGGGATCTCCGTACCTGTCCTCGGCGCTGGGCGTGGTCTACTTCCTCCACGCCATCCCCTACCTCATCAGCCCGCCGATCGGAGGTGAGGAGTTGACGTTTGATCATTTTGTGACTTGTTCTTTAACAATCAGCTGCTTTTGTCCTCGTTAGCTGGAGACAACGGAAACAAATACAGGAAATACACTTTGAATGATACGATATGTTTAAAGACAATGTGTTTAGGTTTATTGGTGTTCAGATTAAAGTTCTACTAAAGTAAAAGTACTCATTATTTCAGTGATACTATATGATATACTATTACATAAAAACTGTACATTTTCTATAGTGTTGGGTCGTTTAAACTATAACAATATAATAAACAATAATAATATAATAAAGTCAGTGGCGGGCCGTGCATTGTATACCTTGGCCTTCACTGCTGTCCTGCAGCTGAAACACAGCAGATTTTGGGATTGTCACCGCCCAACATGTCAGGCTAGCCCACTGACCAATCACGTATGGCTAGGCCAGCTAGCAGGCTCTGACATGTACGCCCAACATGTCAAACTAAAGATCTGATTGGTTGAACATGATGACAATCAACAATATCTTCCCCATTCACTTAAACTGCACATGGATTCACTTGTGAGTCTGCAGGCCTCTGCCTCTGTTCTTACCTAGAGACACAGAGGTGAGATCTGATTGGATAAAAGCTCTACTTAAAACAAGCTGCACTGGAAGCAGAGCAACTGAGGAAGACAGTAGCTGTGCAATGAGAACATAAGATAATGGGGAAAATATGTTTACAAATTATAATACATGTAGTGTATTTAAGAAAGATTATTAAATTATAAAATAGATATAACTTTGTGATTCTGTTTAGGCCAGCAGAGAAGGCCTTGCAGGCCCTGACGGCCCACCACTAAATAAACTATAATAATACAATAAACTATGATAATATGATAAACGTAAGGAAGTGGGCGTGGTTTCATCTCTCAGCCCCTCCCCCACTCTTTAAGACCTGGGGATGAAGTTGCATTCAAAGTTATGATACAGTTGAATAAATAATAAAACGTACTTGTTCTTCTCTTGCTGCAGGTTGGCTGGTCGACGTCACAGGAAGCTACTCGCCGACCTTCTTCCTCAGTGGTGTCTCTCTGCTGTCCAGCGCCGTCGTCCTCTCCGCCATCACCGGGATCCGCCACTGCCGCCGCCTGATGCTAACCCCCCGCCGCTAAATGCTAGCTCCTCCCCCGTCTGTCCGACCAATCGGACTGCTTCAGCGGAGGCTGTCGGTCGAGCCTCGTGCAGAGGAAACGACCAATCAGAGTATCGACAGCGCAGACGGGGATGAAGGGCCGTGATTGGCTGGCGAAGTGGATTTATTGATAGTCTGCCGAGGACCAGAATCCACACTGTGACACACTTCCTGTCACCTGACTTTTAAAGGACACCTGGACGAACAGAGGCGAAGATGCTAACGCCAAGAAACGAGGGAACAGGAAACAGAAAACATGAAATGACCCAAATAAAAGCATGTTTGCTCTCTGGTGGAGCTACAGTGGGAACGAATGGACTCCGCAGAGCAAAGAGATGATTGAGTGAAACTAGAACACTCAATAAGAGACTTTAAAGTTAGTTTGAGGCCAAACAGAAATGTGTCGAATGACTGAATGTCAAAGACTGAAAGTTAATGTTTGATTGATTGTTGAACAAAACTGGGTAGAACATTCACGATCCGAATATGTGAATATCTACTAGAACTCTTTCGCCTCTTTGACTGTAAATGATTAGTTTGAAAAGAAATCATGTGAAACTGTGACGGACATTTTACATTTGATGATTCTTTATGAACTGTGATCTTGGTGCATAAAGAATAGAGATACTGAAGACGCAGGTCAAACAACAACATGAGACATTTTAACTTCAGCAACAGAAATAACCAGAGAGCTCTGAACTACGGAAGACTTTATGGTGCCGTACTAATCAAATAAAAACTGAATGAATGGATCTTTATTGTGAAATTAAGATCAAAACCAGAAGAGGTGAGTATCAACAGCTACAAGAGAAGAAGTCAGAAATAAATTATATTTATTGTAAAGAATGAAGAATCATCGATTGGTCTACGACATTAATAATAATAATAATAATTAAAACCCTCCTTTCCAAACGTATCATTGTATTGATCTTTATATTTAGGGCCCGAGCACCGACGTAGTCGGAGCGGAGGACCCATTGTTTTTCGAATGTTTATTGTTGTTATTATTATTATTTCATGTCTTTCGTCGCAAAAAGGAGGTGCTTGGGATACTGGAAAAATGTCGAAATTTGGCACGCAAGCCAGAATTTGAGAAAATTGCAGTCTGATTGGGGTGTCCAGCTGCGGTATGAAATATTGGCTCGATAGCGCCCCCTATTGAGTAGCCCCAACACCGGGTTTCACCTAGCTGTGTGAAATTTGGTAGGTATGTGGATCGTGATGGGACGTACAAAAAATCCTCTTGGAATTTTTCTCTAAACCAAACAGGAAGTCGGCCATTTTGACTTTTATGACGTTTTTGGACCGTTTCGAGGCGTCGTACTTTAACGAACTCCTCCCAGAGATTTGACCCGATCAACTTCAGATTCGGTCAGTATGCTCTTGAGACCGTGGCAGCGAAAAATTACTCAAAGATCAAAAAGTTATCGAAACTATGTATCCGTGGCGTGGCGTCAAAAAAACACCATTCGCCGTGAAACAGGAAGTTGTTGTAACTCGGCCGTACATTGTCGAATCTGCTCCAAATCTCTCATATGTCATAACATCCTGACCCGGAACACATCTATATGATCATTTAGAATCATAGTAATAGCGCCACCTAGTGGCAACCGGAAGTTGTAAGTTGTGTACTTTGACATCCTGCTCCTCACAGATTAATCAGATCCCTCTAAAATGTTGTCAGAACAGCCTTAAGACCTTGATAATGCTTCATTGTGAAGGTTGTAAGAAGTTGTTGAAGGGCGGCGACGTGGCGGCTCGGCAAATTTCGATCCTTCGCCATGAACGAATAAACTGATGTAACTCGACTCCACATCATCAGATCTTTAATAGATTTCACGTTTGATTAGACTCCAGGCCTGAAGACATCTGCAGGCCAATTTTGAATCATAGTCATAGCGCCACCTACTGCTAACAGTAAGTTAAAGTCTTTATACTTTGGCTTGTTTCTCTTAGGAGGTAAATCAAATCAACATCAAATTACTTCCACACAAATGTAAGAAGTTCATAATACCAGTTCATGAAGCTTTTGATGTTTCGTCCAACGCCGTTGCCGTGGCGACGCAGTCTTCGCCATTAACAACGAAGGTCATTTTGAGAGGCTAAAAATACTCGAAACATAAGCAAACTTGGCAAGCAGATTTAAAGCCCAAAATGTAGTTATAGAATATGATTTTATTGGTTCAGAGTGGGAAATCGGCTCAATAGCGCCCCCTACAAAATTTCGACAAAGCAGCCCTCGCAGTATGTTTGACCTAGATGTATGAAATTTCGGAGGAACATGTAACACATATGGACTTAAATAAAAGTCTCTTGGGGCCATGCTCTAAACCCAACCGGAAGTCAGCCATTTTGAATTATTTATGAATTTCTCGTGTCATTTTTGTCATTTCCAGGCGCTACACTTTAACGAACTCCTCCTAGGGAATTAATCAGATCATCTTCAAATTTGGTCGGTACAGTCTAAAGACCTTTGTGATGAAAAGTTACTCAAAGCTTGTTATTTCGTGAAAAGCTGTTGCCGTGGCGACGCATTCTTCACCATGAAACATTAAGGTGTTTTTGAGAGGCTAGAAATACTCGCAACATAAGCAAACTTGGCATAAACATTTAAAGCCCAAAATGTAGTTATATAATATGATTTTATTGGTACAGAGTGGCAAATCGGCTCAATAGCGCCCCCTACAATATTTTGACGAAGCAGCCCTCGCTGTACGTTTCACATAGATTTACAAAATTTGGTAGGCACATGTATCACATGTGGACTTAAAATAAAGTCTCTTGGGACCATGCTCTAAACCCAACCGGAAGTCAGCCATTTTGAATTTTGTATGAATTTCTCGTGTTTTTTTCCCATTTCCAACTCCTCCTAGGGAATTAATCCGATCAGCTTAGAATTTGGTCAGAACAATCTAAAGACCTTAGCGATTAAAAGTTACTAAAAGCTTTAGGT